AAATAGAACCCTAAAATTAAATAAATATGTTGGAGGAGCCGGTTGCACGACGCAACAGGATGGATTATAATGAATATATTGGAGTATCGGGTTGCACGCCGCAACAGACTTATTAAAAATCAATATTGGAGGATCGGGTTGCACGCCGCAACAGACTTATTAAAAGTCAATATTGGAGGATCGGGTTGCACGCCGCAACAGACTTGATTAAAATGAATATATTGTGAGAGCGGGTTGCACGTTGCAACAGAATTGAATGTGATTATATTGTGAGAGCAGGTTGCACGNTACACGCTGCAACAGAACTGAATGTGAATATATTGTGAGAGCGGGTTGCACGCTGCAACTGAATTGATGGAAATAATAATTGGTTATGACTGCTGAGTTGGCTTCAATTATTATAAATGAGTTACTTGATTTATTTCTATTATTGTTGTTGTATCTAATATTGCGTACAGGTAATGTAAGTGACCAGCCTTAGCCTCGTCACTACTTCGTCGAGGTTAGGCTCAGCACTTACTAGTATATGGGGTCGGTTGTACTGATACTACACTATGCACTTCTTGTGCAGATTTTGGAGTTGGTCCCAGCGGCGTGCCATAGTTTTGCTCGGATTTCAGCTAATCGGAGGAGACTTGAGGTATAACTGCATGGCGTCCGCAGTTCTGAAGTCCCCGTCTATTTCATTTTAGCTGTGCGTTTATTTCCAAATAGCTTTACTTTATTCAGACCTTTATTTGTATTTATTCTAGAAGCTCGTGCACTTGTGACACCAATTCTGGGATGGTATTTCGACACCGTTATTTGATGGATTATTTTACTATATTTCAAACATTGCTTCCGTATTTGTTTCCTTGTTATTAATACATTTAAAAATTATTTTAAAATGGATAATATTATTCTAATGTTGGCTTGCCTAGCAAGTGAAATGTTAGGCCCCATCACGGTCCGAAGGTGGAAATTTCGGGTCGTGACAATTAATAACAAAGAAACCAATGCGGAAGTAAAGTTTGAAATATAGTGATTAATCCATAAAAATAGCGTTGTCTAAATAACATCTCAGAATTAGTGTCACAAGTGCACGAGCTTCTAAAATAATACAAATACAGGTCTGAATAAAATAAAGCTGTCTGAAAGCAAACACACAGCTAAAATAAGGTAGACGGGGACTGCAGAACTGCAAACGATGTGCACTTACCATACCCCATGGTAGTGATGAGGCTAAGGCAGGTCACTTACATTAACCTGTACTCAATAATAGGAATAACCACAATAATAGAAATAAATCAGGTAATTCATTTTAATAGTTGAAGCCAACTCAGTAGTCATAACCAATTATTATTTCAATCAATTTCTGTTGCAGCGTGCAACCCGCTCCTACAATATATTCATATTCACTTCTGTTGCGGCGTGCAACCCGCTCCTTCAATATATTTATTTTAATCAAGTTTATTGCAGCGTGCAACCCGATCCCCCAATATATATAGACTTTTAAACAAGTTTGTTGTGGCGTGTAACCCGATCTCCCAATATGGACTTTTAATAAGTCTGTTGCGGCGTGCAACCCGATCCCCCAATATTATGATTTACCAATTCTTATAAAAGAAATCACTCCAATAAATACAACAATTAATATAAAAATTTTAAGACAATAAGCATACAATAATTATGATTTAATTATGATACAAACAATGACAAATAATAATTTATTATGGAAATCAGGGAAAAAATAGGCAGTTTATAATTTAATATGTTAAATGTCAAGTAGAAATTAATGCACATAAAACAAATCAGCATGTAGCAATTATTGTAGGAATTCAAGAATTAATATTTGACAAAGAATATGAGAGAAACAATTATCATAACAATTAATTCGTGTATTAATTTTTTTTTTGGATTTTCAAATAATTATGCAAACAATTAATTTGACGACGTATAGACACTCGTCACCTCGCATATACGTCGTTCACATGTATTTCACATAACAAATAATTTAAGGGTTCTATTTCCTCAAGTCAAGGTTAACCGCGACACTTACCTCGCTTTAAAAATTTCAATAAATTACTCGACCACAATTTTCCTTTTAAATTTATCTCCAAAACCTTCATATCTATTCACAAACAATTCGATATACTCAATACGAATCATAAGAATTAATTCCATATGAATTTACTAATTTTCCGGATAAAATCCGAAATTCACTTTAAAAATTGACAGTGGGGCCCACATCTCGAATTTCGGAAAAACTTATGAAATACGAACACCCATTTCGATATGAGTCCAACCATACAAAAATTATCTAATTTCGATGTCAAATGGATCTTCAAATCATAAATTTTCATTTTTGAAAAGTTTTACAAAAATTCCAATATTTTCCATCTAAATCCGAAATAAATGACGAATATAGACATGGATTTATGAAATATAACCACTTTTGGTTATAGAACACTTACTCAATTCAAAGTCGTGAAAAATCGCTTTGGAATCGCCAAAATTCGAGACTCAAAACTCAAAAATGAGTAAAAATGGCTTAAACCGATTTTATGTATTATGTCCAGTATTTCTGCTTCTGCGGAAATTTGACAGCATCTGTGGTTCTGCTTCTACGGAAAATTGACCGCAGGTGCAGTTTTTGCTTCTACGGAAAATTTACCGCAGGTGCGATTACACTAGAAGGCCAAAATTTCAGATTTTTCCTTAAGTCTAAATTTTGATCCGTTAACCATCTGGAATCCACCCGAGCCCCCCGGGATCTCAACCAATTATACCAATAAGTTCTAAAACATCATATGAATTTAGTCGAGACCTCAAATCATGTCAAACAACGCTAAAAGTATAATTCACACCTCGATTCGAACTTTGAGTTTTAAACTTTTCAATTTGCAAATATCGTGCCGAAACATGTTAAATGAATCCGAAATGATCTCAAATTTGGCACACAAGTCATAAATGACATAACAGAGCTATTCAAATTTCCGAAATCGGATTCCGACCCTGATAACAAAAAGTCAACTCCGTGGTCAAATTTGGAAATATTTAGCCTTTAAATTACTAGTTTTCGTTAAATGATCATAAATTGAGTTAGGGACCTCCAAATTAAATTCTGAGCATACGCTCAAGTCCCAAATCAGGATACGGGCCTACCGGAACTGTCAAAATACTGATCCGGATCTGTTTGCTCAAAATATTGACCAAAGTCAACTCAATTGAGTTTTAAGGCTCTATTTCACATTTTAATCCATTTTTCACATAAAAACTTTTCGGAAAATTATACGAACTACGCACGCAAGCCGAGAAATAATAAATAGTACTTTTCGAGGTCTTAAAACACAGAAATAGTTATTAAATTTAAAGATGACCTTTTAGGTCATCACATTCTCCACCTCTAAAACAAACGTTCGTCGATGAATGAAATTAGAAAAAGTACCTGAGCTGGTAAAAAGGTGTGGATATTTACTCCGCATGTCCGACTCGGACTCCCAGGTAGATGCTTCTATCGGCTGACCTCTCAATTGTACCCGAACTGAAGGGTAACTCTTAGACCTCAACTGTCGGACCTGCCAGGCTAGAATAGCTACCGGCTCCTCCTCATAAGTCAAATCTTTATCCAATTGGACTGAGTACTCTGAGAGTGTGAGTAGATGAGCGCATCATCGAGATGCATTGCATTTGACATGCGTACTTGAGATACTTGCATAGAGGTGCATTTCCTTCTACTATCCAGTTTTGGGGACATTTGTGATTTTACCTGTATCTTGACATGTAGGCATATAGAAGTACTTTCCTCATGCTATCTGAAAATGAAACATCTTACTATTTGTTGGAAGGATTTTTGGGGAAAAAATCATAGTTTTCAAACTTACTCATATTTTGGCTTTTTCGGTAAAAGATTTAAATTTTCACCGAGATACTCTTTTGTTACGTGTTCTATGTTGTTATGAGTTATTGTGGGATATTGGTGCTGGACCCGACCTTTTTGTTAGCTCGTCATTACTTTCAACCTAAGGTTAGGTTTGTTACTTATTAAGTACATAGGGTCGGTTGTACTCATACTACACTTCTGCACCTTGAGTGCAGATGTTGGCTGCTGATGTTGCTGTGTTCGATGGGAGCTGGATTTGAAGATGTACCTGTGTTCCGGTTGTAACTGTTTCTTGTTCATGGTAGCTTTAGATTCATAAAACTCTGTTTATGTACTTTTCAAATATATGATGTATTTATTTCATACCAGCTTTGTAAACTCTATTCTTAGAAGCTCATGATTTGTACTACTAGTTCTTGGGGAATGTATAAGATTCAGATAATTTTTTTTACTTAATTGCCTTATTAATTTTTATTGGAATTGGTTAGTGGTTAACTGGCTTACCTAGCGAGTTGGGTTAGGTGCCATCACGACTAGTTGGATTTTGGGTAGTGACAGATAGGTTCAACTAGTGGTGGCAAAATGGTTAAAAAAAAACAGTTAACCACCCATATTATCCACCAAAAATTGGGTTGAATAATGGACTTTTTAAAAAGGGGTCAAATATGGATAAGAACCATATTATCCATTTAGAAAATGGATAACCAATAGGTAACCAATGAATAACCAATGAGTTTAACTTATACATTTGTAAAGCCTCAAATTAAAAGTTCCTCAAGTTTGGGAGACTAGGAATTCTCCCGAAAGTGATCATATTCAAGAAGTCATGGATATTATGGTTACCCATATTATTCGTCGGTTAACCTATTTTTTATCCGTATTAAATATGAATTGGTTCGAATAATTTTTTCATTTTTTCATTACCCGTTTTCGATCTAAACCATATCCAACCCGGCCCGCCCGTTTCTCAGTGGTAGGTTCAACTTAATGTTTAAACTTAAAAAGGGACTACTACAAGTAGATCTCTATCGATGCAACAAGTAGGGTATATTATAATTTTAAATTAGAGCAAGCATCTCAGTCACCACAACGACCACAACCAAGTACGCATAAATACAAGTAAGAAAATATTTTCGTACGAGACAAGCCTGCATCCCAAAGCACCGAACTAATCATTTGCAAGTCTGCTTCATCTCCTCTTCAATTTCCACGGACTTCAGTAGGAGGCTCAATATAAGAGCTAGAGACAAAGGTCAGAATGAATTAAAGAGTCAATACAGACACAGATCAGAATGAATTAAAGAGTCAATACGGGTAGGATAAATACTAAGTTCATATTAAAACAAGACCTACTCAACAGACATTGAAAAGCAGGCACAACTACTAGTTTCCCAGCATAAAACTATCAGATTAGGGAGCACTAGAACCAGGATAAATATACTAAGTTCTCTAGGATTTTCCATTCAACCATTTCTTTAAGTAATTGATGAAAACATGCATAGATATATTTTCTTCATTGTTGGTAACAAAACTTATAACACTAGTGACCTTTTTTAAGATTTAGAAGAACAGTATGAATGGTTGGAGAGACGTAAACATTTCATCAAGAAGGTTCTCCTTTGGTTCTCAGCAACCTCTAGCGGTGAAAAAGATGGAAGGTTATACAGTTAGACATCTCTATAACAATATCCCTATATAACAACACTTCTCTATAAAAACTAAGCTTTTTCGGAACCAATTTTTTATGTTATGTTATAATATATGTTCTTTATAACAGCACTTCGCTATAACATTCAAAATTATTCGGAACAAACGAGACTGTTATAAAGAGGTTTGACTATATTTTGTGGATATTCGGTGACTACGCATTTGAATATTTTTGCTCCCGAAAAAGCTTTGGGAGATACATCAGACATGGTGGCGCGCAGTTCAATTTCCAGGTAGACTCAGACATCAAATTTGGGAATTGAAAAAAAGGTTTTCGTTTGGAAAAAAACAGTGGTTTATTTGATCAATCTCCAAATCTTATTGATTGGATTGCAGTCAAGAACACGCATGCTTGATCCAGAATTTGTGGAAATCATTTAGGATTTCTCCCAGAGTCTGCACTTCACAGCTCAATTGTGGAAGCTTTTCAAGAATTTTGTGAACATTAGGGACAAAACCTGATCTTTTGAGAAGTTGGTATAGATCTGGATTGGACAAAAGGGGCAGAACACATCAGATCTCATAGAGTTACTTCAAGTAGACAATTCTGTTTTTTTCCTTTCACATACAGCAATCTCAGCTCCTCTTACTGCTGGTTTGTGATTAATAAGTACTTATTACCTTTTTTTTTTTTTTTTAAAATGAGAAGGTATAACTTACTCATTGATTTTCATCAGCTCCCATTGTCCCCTGCAAAAAAAGTAAGAATAAGTGTTTCAGAAGAGAAAAGTCTCCTTGTAGGAAAGACAGTCAGTGAAAAATTCTTCCAAGTTTAAAGGTAATAAAAAAATCGCATATATTTTGATTCTCACTTTTTTTTTTATCTTTTTACAAAATCTATCCAAGGTTGAGATACGCACCAGTACATGTAGGGAAGCATAGCTGCGATAATCCCGTTACAGAAAGCTTTAACTGAAACATGAGAGTGTGAGATCTGAAATTTGAAATTTGAAGGGAAAATTAAACAAAGTAGGTTCACAAAATTTACCCTCAAGAGGATAACCGCCTCTGCGACTGCGAGTGGGAGAAACTTGCTGACAGTATCCCCTAAATCGGAATCAACAAAACACGAAACGTTCAATTCTGTCAAAGGAAGAATAATACATAACAATAAAAATAATAAAATACCTTATCTGTGTGACTGTGTTGGTGCTCCGAGCAAAACCTTACAAGCACCAGCAGCGAATTTTCTGTCCGAACCACAAAAAAGCAACAAAAATGAGACAAAATTCAATAAGTCCTCAGATAGATAAAACATTTAGGCCGNATATGTATGTATTTTATATTTTTCAAAACATACATGTTTATACTACATAAATAACATATATATATACTTAAGGTAATGTACTATACCATGCATAAATAGTTTATAATGTATATTTTGATGACCCAAAAGGTCATCTTATATTTTTGAACTCGATATTGCGCTCTTAAGCCTTAAAATTCTCATTCTTACGCTCCTCGATTAACGTGCACAGTCCGGACGTGTTTTCGAAAAGCTTTTATGTTGAAAATTGATGAAAATAAGAATTTCTGCCTTGAAAGTTGATTTTAGTTGACTTCGGTCAATATTTTTGGTAAACGGACCCGGATTCATTTTTGACGGTCCTGGTGGGTCCGTATCGAATTATGGAACCTGGGCGTATGCCCGAAATCGAATTCGGTGGTCCCCAGTTCGAGTTATGAATTTTTGATGAAAATTAAAAGTCTGAAAATTAATTATTTTTAAGAATTGGTTGATGTTTGGCCTTGTTGATACCGGGGCCGTATTTTGGTTTCGGATTCCGGTATAGGTCCAATATAATATTTATGACTTATCTGTGAAATTTGGTGAGAAACAGAGTTGGTTTGACGTGATTCAGACATCCAGTTGAGAAAATAAGAATTTTAAAGTGTTCTTGAGAATTTCATTTGATTTGGTGCTAAATTCGTAGTTCTATGTGTTATTTTGGTGATTTGATCGCACGAGCAAGTTCGTATGATATTTTTAGACTTGTGTGCATGTTTGGTTTAGAGCCCTGAGGGCTCGGATGAGTTTCGGATAGGCCACAGAATGTTTTGGACTTGGGAAAATCTGGTATTTTACTGCAGCAGGTGTTCTGGCATGTCCTTCTTCGCGTTCGCAAAGGTACTCCCGCGAACGCGAAGAGTAAACTTATGAGGCCGGAATTTTCTTCTTCGCGAACGCGTAGGCTTGGTCGCGAANGGGGGGGTGGGAGGAGTCAGTCTTTCCTTCATCGTGAACGTGAGCAATGTCTCACGAACACAAAGGCTAGGGGGTAGCCTACGTGAATGCGAACAAAGTCTCGCGAACACGAAGGCTTGGCAGCCTATACTCTTCGCGAACGCGATGAACACTGTCGCCCAGCACTTAACAGAATCCAAAAACGCGAATTGGCCATTTATTTCATTTTCTCAAAAACCAATCGGACTAGAGGCGATTTTCAAGAGTTGTTTTCTTTCCCAAAGTGTTGGTAAGTGATTCTAAACCATTTGCTTTCAATTACCCATTACATTTTATGAATTATCAACTTAAAATCTAGAGTTTTTATGGTAGAATTAGGGGTTAGGGTAGAAACTAAGGATTTCGGAAAATTAAGGATTTAGACCTCAATTTCAGGTCGGATTCCAAAACCAATTATATATCCGGGCTCGAGGGTGAATGGATAAATGAATTTTGGTTCGAACCTCGGGTTTTGACCAAGCGGGCCCGGGGTCAATTTTTAGCTTTTGGAGAAAAATTTGGAAAATTTAATTTATACAATATAATTGATCCCTTTAGCAATATTTGATATTATTAAGTCATTGTTTGAATAGATACGAGTGGTTTGGAGGTGAATCTAGAGGAAAAGCTGTGATTGAGAATTAAGGGACCTTCGGAGCAAGGTAAGTGTTGTGTCTAACCCTCACTTGAGGGAATTAGGAACCTTAGACTATTTGCTATGTGAAATTCATGTAAGTGGCGTATATGTGAGGTGACGAGTACTTATGCGCCGCCAATTTACCTATTTTCCATGTTTCTTCCGTTTTTCTTATATTGTCTCTTTCCTATGCATAATTTCTATGTGTTTATACTAGTGTTGTTAAATTGATCGTTCTTATCTTGTTTACGGATTTTTTGGTGATAATTGAGATTTTATTTCAAAGTTGAGATTGATATTGGGGAATAAAATGTTGAAGTAAGGCTTGTACTTGTTATTCTATCTCCCTGTTATTATTTATGCATTGCATTATGGTAAGGGAGAGTGTTAATGCACGAAGGGTGATGCCGTGCCATATTGTGAGTGTTAATGCACGAAGGGTGATGCCGTTCCATATTGTGAATGTTAATGCATGAAGGGTGATGCCATGCCATATTGTGAGTGTTAATGCATGAAGGGTGATGTCGTGCCATATTATGAGAGTTAATGCACGAAGGGTGATGTCGTGTCGTTTCTATTAATTTATGGTGAGATTGAGAGTTAAAGCACGAAGGATGATTCTGTGTATTTTTCTTTTACTGTATTCATGTTCCTGTTGATTCATAACATATTGGTTGTTCCAGTTATCATTCTATTGTAGTTCTTTATCTCGTATTTCCCCCAGTATGTTTCCCCCTCCCGATATCTCCTGTCTAATTTTTCATTACTGTTATTTGTATATACATTGTTAAACTGTACAAGTTGATTTGTAGGTGCCTTGCCTTAGCCTCATCGCTACTTCGTTGAGGTTAGGCTCGACACTTACCAGTACACGGGGTCGGTTGTACTGATACTGCACTCTGCACTTTCAGTGTAGATTTTGGTACAGGCTTGGGTTGATCGAGATTTTGCTATTGGACCGCTATCCGGAGACTCAAGGTAGATCTGTCGTCGTCCACAAACCTTGAAGTCTCCGTCTATCTTTCCTGTTCTACTGTTTCTTTCATTCAGACAGTTGTATTTCTTTAAGACTATTACTTGTAGTAAATTCTAGAATGCTCGTGAATTATGACTCCAGATCCGGGTGTTAATAATTGATACAGTCTTTATATTATTCCGCACTTATTATATTTCATCTTAGCTAATTATTGTTATTTACTGAATGAAAATAAGAATTTGGTTTAATGATTCTCTAACGTTGGCTTGCTTGGCAAGTGAAATGTTAGGCGCCATCACGATCCCGAAGGTGGAAATTTCGGGTCGTGACAAGTTGGTATCAGAGCACTAGGTTGCCTAGGCCTCACGATTCACGAGGAAGCTTAGTAGAGTCTGGAGGATCGGTATGGAGACGTCTGTGCTTATCCTCCAGAGGCTATGAAGTTTAGGAACAAATTTCACTTCTATTCTCCTCTGTCATGCGATGTTGTTTTCTCAATACTGATTGAACTATTCTACTCTTATTCTCTCGCAGATGGCGAGAACACGTACCGCTTCCTCAGCTGAGCAGCAGCCAGATCCTCTAGTGGAAGCTCCTACGCGGGGCAGAGGTCGAGGCCGTGCCAAAGGCCGAGGAAGGGGCAGGGCTCAGCCCAGAGCCCGAGCAGCAGCCCCAGCTGTGGAGCCTCAGATAGAGCTTGATGAGGAGGTTCCAGCCCAGACTGTTCCTGCCGGACCAGCTCAGGTTCCGGAGGGGTTCATTGCCACCCTAGTACTTCAGGACGCTTTGGTCTGTTTGATGGGCCTTATGGGGAGTGTGGCCCAAACCGGCACATTTCCCATAGCACCAGCCGTCTCTCAGGATAGAGGAGGGGCCCAACTCTCACTACTCCCGCTCCGGAGCAGATAGCTCCCCAGTATCAGGCTCCAGTTGCTCATCCAGCCGGAGTAGTTCAGTCGGTTGTTGCGCCACAGTCCGGTGATGGGTTAGCTATGTCTTCTGAGGCTTTATGGAGGTTGGAAAGGTTTACCAAGCTCTTCCCAGTTCACTTCAGTGGTTCTCCTTCAGAGGATCCGCAAGAGTATCTCGACAGCTGTCACGAGGTTTTACGGAACATGGGTATAGTAGAGACCAATGGGGTTGATTTTGCTACATTTCAGATGACTGGTTCCGCCAAGAAATGGTGGAGAGATTATTTACTGACCAGACCAGCTGGGTCGCCTGCTCTTACTTGGGACCAGTTCTCTCAACTCTTCATAGAGAAGTTTCTGCCTATCACATTGAGAGAGGAGTGTCGCCGTCAGTTTGAGCATATCCGGCATGGGAGTATGATTGTTACTCAGTATGAGACCCGTTTTGTGGATTTGGCCCGTCATGCTATTCTCCTGCTTCCCACCGAGAGAGAGAGGGTGAGGAGGTTTAGTGATGGACTTGCTCAGCCTATCAGATTGCAGATGGCTAAGGAGACAGGGAGTGAGATTTCTTTTCAGGCGGCTGCTAATGTCGCTAGACGAGTCGAGATGGTTCTTGCTCAGGGAGATCAGGGGTCTAACAAGAGACCTCATTATTCCGGTGAGTTCAGCGGTGCCTCATCTAATAGTAGGGGTACCTTTGGTAGAGGCCATCCTTTCAGGCCGTTTCATTCAGCACTCCAGGCATCCCACGGTGCCTCAGGTGGTCATGGTCATCATATGCCTTATTCCAATCAGATAGCTTACAGTGCACCACCAGCTCCTATTAGTGCACCTCCACTCCAGTGTTATTAGGGTGGTTACCCAGGTCGGCAGGGTCAGTTTCAAGGTCTGCAGTCACAGCAGCCGAGGTTATGTTATACTTGTGGTGATCCGAGGCACACTGCTAGATTTTGCCCTCAGGAACGGGCAACTCACAGTATCAGAGTTCTCGTGCCATGGTTCCGTCACCAGTTGCTACACCACCTGCTCAGCCAACCAGAGGCAGGGTTCAGACAGTTTGAGGTAGAGGCCAGACTGTTAGAGTTGGAGGTCAGGCCATCAGAAATGGAGACCAGTCAGCTAGAGGCCGTCCCAGGGACATAGTTCAGGGTTTATACTTTCCTAGTCACGCCTGAGGCTGAGTCATCTGACGCTGTTATCACAAGTACTATTTCAGTTTGCAGCAGAGATGCTTCAGTTCTATTTGATCCGGGGTATACTTACTCCTATATGTCATCCTATTTTGCTTCATATTTGGTTGTGCCCCGTGATTCTTTGAGTCCTCATGTGTATGTGTCCACATTAGTGGGGGATGCTATTATTGTAGACCGTGTTTATCGTTCCTGTGTGGTC